TGAGAACTTCAGAACCCCACAGAGCTTCGTCAGGGGTTTAGGGTTCAGGGTTTGGGGGTTTAGGGGTTTAGGGTTTAGGGGTTTAGGGGTTTAGGGTTTAGGGTTCAGGTTTAGGGGTTTAGGGTTTTAGGGTTTAAGGTTTAGGCTTTAGGGCTTTAGGGTGTAGGTTTAGGGTTTAGGGGTTTAGGGTCTACGTAGGGTTTGTCTGCCAAACAGCCAAGGAAAAGCAATCTGGGCGGGGCGATACGGTGGTGGAGAGGCTTCGGAAAATGGGAGGCGACAAGTTCAGCCACGAGGCAGGGGTTTGGGTTTCCAGATGGTCTCGGGTTTGACATGGTGTGTCTGTGTTATATGTGTATGTACATATATATATATATACATACACATTATATTATTTTGGACATCGGTTTCGGATTTCAGGGTTTCCCAGGGAGTGCAGCTCACCTGCGTTTGAGGAAGGCACTGCACGTCATAGCAGGGATCGAAGGATCCTCCAGAGTCTTGAGCTCTCTGGATTTAGGGCGTTCCTCTTGTGTTCACTGAGCTGGGGTTGAAGCCCAAAGCCCGAAACGCTGAAGGGCCAGAATGCCCTAAACCCAAAGCCTCTTTAGGATTTTTTTGTGTTTAGGGTTTAAACAAAAACCCAATGCCCCGCGCCATGGACCCTGAACTCTCAACTGAAGAACCCTAAACCCTCAAGCCAAAACAACAACGTTAAGCCCTAAAGTCAAGAGTTCTCAACCCAAACAAACAAAACTAAGAACCCCTAACCGTTTAACCCCCGAAGCCTACACCCCGAACCGTAAACCACAAAGCCCTAAACCCTAAACCCTAAACCCTAAACCCTAAACCCTAAACCCTAAAGGGATCCTAGCACCAATCATCCTAAACCACTGTTCCAACTTTCTGGGCTTCACTGTCGGGTGTAGGGTTCTGAACTTTAGGTCTTCGACTTTAGGGATTTTTCAGGTTTTAGGGTTTCGGGCTTAGGTTCAGGCTTTGTGGTTTAGGGTTTAGGGTTTAGGGTTTAGGGTGAATGATGTTCCAAGTTTCTGGCTTCTACTTGATGCTACACTGAAGAACCCTAAGCCCTAAACCCTAAACCCTAAACCCTAAACCCTAAACCCTAAACCCTAAACCCTAAACCCTAAGCCCGAAAGCCTAAACGGGATGACTTGGGGGCCTCGGTCGTGAACGGAGACACCCTTAATCTAGGACATTTTCAGGTGGGTAGTTACCGTTATAGGAGCCTTATAGAAGGTCTAGGGTTTAGGGTTTAGGGTTTAGGGTTTAGGGGGTCTATATACCTTATGGAAGTCTTACAGAAGCCCTATAAACCCTAAACTCCCCATCTGTAGTTTCCTTTACCTTAATCCTTCTACAAAAAGCAGCAAGTGCTTCGTTTTTGCAGGACTCCAGAACCCTACAAAGTTTACTGCTGGAAGAGGGTCCAGGGTTCAGGGTTTCAGGGCCTAAAGTCTCAGGGCCCTCAGAAATCAGGCGCGGTCGGGATATAAGCCTGTTCCTGCCTAAACCCTAAACCCTAAACCCTAATTAGACTCAGTCGGTCCGACCCGGTGCAACTAAATCAACCCAGCGCCTGCCAACCCTGAGCGCTAAGGGGTTTAGAGTCTACGAGTTTACGGGTTCAAGGTTTAGGAAACCTCCCAAATTGAAACTCAGGGATCCAATATCGGGGCTTGAATACTTGCCAATACTGTTCCGTGGGATTCCTTAACATAACTATAGTGTAGCATCCCCCATAAGCTCGAGTCTAGTAATTAGAACCCTTATTTAACTTAAGCACACTTAAATCCCAACCCGACATGTAGAACCCTTTTGGTCTGAACATAGGAGCCTTACAAACTGGAATAGGGCTATTGATACGATTCCCCAAATAATTACCTATACTATTTTGAGGGGTCCTTATTATGATTATAGTATAGCGGGCTCCAAACCCCTATTGAAATAAGTATTCAGGCCCCTACATTACTGTTAGGATGATTGGCTTCTATTGCCGCTGTTGCAGCTGTTTGTAAGACCCCTCGAAGCCCTTGGCCCGAACCCCTAAACCCCAAACCCTACACCCTAATCCGAAATCTCAAATCCTAAGCCCTAAGCGTAGAGGCTGGAATAATTACCGATAGTATTCCCTTGGGTTCCTCATTGTAACTATACTATAAAGGAGCCCAATACCCTATTCTGACTATTAAGGCCCTTGTTATGGCGTACACATGCATCAGAGCTGGCGCACAGCAATGCAGTGCGGCCAGCGAGCGTCCAAACGAGCTGTACAAACCGACCTAGTGCAGCCCTGGCACGGAGCAAAAGCGAGCCTTCGACTCCGAAAACAATACCATCGAGACTGAACCCGATACCCAAATCAGAATGATCAACCCGACAAACAAAGAGGCCCTGAAGCCGAAGGCTCTTGAAAGCGCTACGAAGAGCGCGCCTCACCAGGCTGAGTCTCCCAGCCATCGTTGGTGGGGGACGCAGAAAGCAATCGTGCCCGAAGAAACCCAACCACCCCGGGTAAAGGAAATCCCCACTCAGCTCCAACATAAAAGCAAGTTCGAGCCACGTCACTTCGAAAGCATGCTTTGCTGAGGAATCCTCTACAAGCACGAATCTGCACAGAGCAAGAATACAATCATCAGGCAGGCCATGAGAGCCTTGTGTTGCCAACTGAGTCCAACCTACAGGAAGCACTTCTTCAAGTTCACACCTTCTCGGGACTGGCAAAGGACCATTCGGATCCTCCTCCTCAAGAGGATCGTGCTCAGCAGGGAGGGCATCAGGATGCCCGGCCCAATGCCGAAGTAGATACCACGAAGAGCGCGTAGAGCCTGCTGGGTGTCCAGATGGTGAGGGACAGCTGCCCGCCTGCACGCATCGATGGCAGGAGCCACGTGTCCTGCCTTTGCTGCACCAGAAGCTGCTTGTACATGTGGAGCAGGCTTCGGGACAGACCGGAGGAAGGTCACAACATGGAGCTGTTACTGTTGCCGAAAGCACTTGTGACCATATCCAGAGCGCCTGTACCGGCGCGGCAAGTTGTCCAACAAGACACAGGGCAGCACGAGGATCGGGGTAGTGATACTGCGTAGCCCGCACTGCGCCAAGCTGTTGAGGCTGAAGGCTTTCGGGCGACAGTCGCGCGGGCAAGGCCGAAGGGCACAGCCCCAACTATGGAGGGCGGGAAGGGCCTGGTCCTCGCCAAAGCTCGTGTCTGCGAAGGTCTCTTGTTCCTTGGTGTCCCACAGCAGTGCGCGGCCCACATGGGCCAGTCGGCATCCCGATGAGGAGCAGGACAGCCCACCAATGCAGACGACGCGATGCCCATTGGTCTGCGAGTTCCAAAGGCAATTGATGCATCTGCAGATTGGCTGTCTCGGCAAAGAGGCTGAGACACTGCATTGCGGGATGGCTTTGGGTGATATCCACTGGACTTTCAAGGACAAGGCAGCTAGCCTGTGTGTGCCACATGAGTTGCACGATGTGGCCCAAAGTGGCATGCCTAGGGTCACCTACACCGGGGCCTCAACCAGACTTGGTAGGGGAGGCCTGCGCGCAGCATGCTACGCACCCCAGGGGCAACATGGTGAAGCCTGATGGGGACTGCACGTCCTGCAATGTCACCCTCCAGGACTGCGTGAAAGTTTGCTCCCAGGGCAGCACAGGCGAGTTGGTTGTTATCAAGTACCGCCAGGCACTTGCCTCCAAACTGTTGCGAGCCAGCCGAAATTCCCCCAATTCCAGCACAAACATCTTGTACAGACTGAAATGATGCTGCGGTCAGCAAGGGCCTTTGAAGAATAATGGTCTCCTCGGTAGTGCGCAGGTGATGAGAAGCGCCAAGCATTCCGTTGTACTGCACACCATGCAAGGTATAGATTCGATCATTCCCAAAGGTGCACACGCAGCGGCACTACTCGCGATGCCAGAAGGCTTGCAGAGTAACCCCGTGCAGGTCCGCTCATTGGACATGCACCACCAAATCAGTGCTCCCCCCTATCTCAAGATTACGCAAGCAAGGATCACCCACCATCAGTACAGAACCCTGGAGGATCAGGAGTTACCAGCTCCACTATTGGGAAGACTCGAGCCCGGAGCTAAGCCCCTTATTATAGAAACCTTATCATAGAGGATCCCTTCAAAAGGAACCCCTATTCTAACTATTGAGGCCCCTACATTACCTTGAAGGAGCTCGTCAACAACCTCGTCGTCCTCTTTGCTGCCGGCACCGACGCGCCCGCCCAGACGCTGCAGCCTGGCCTTGGGGAAAGCGGGCCCAGCAAACTTCAGAGAGGGGTAGGGTTTAGGGTTTAGGGCCTTGGGGGGGGGGGGGGTTTGGGGCCCAAGTTTGGGGTTCGTGAAAGCCTAAACCCTCCCGGAACCTTGAGTGGAAACAAGTGCCAACAAAACCTTACACCCGAAACCCTAAATCCTAAACCCCAATCTCTAACTTACAGAGTTCTCGCCAGGTCGCAGTCTTGATAAGCTCTCTGCTGTATGGGGTTGGGTCATGTTGGGTCCTTTGTATGTTTTCGGTACATGCCGCAAGTAAGTGGCTTACAGGGAAGCAATAGAGCATACCAGTAACTCAAGTCATCAACTAGCAGAGGACCGCAAAGACCACTGAAAGAGCACTGTAGGACTACTCTACAAGCACACGAGGACCCGGCCCAAGGAGGGTCACTGTAGGACACCATTCGAAGACACCACTCTGAGGGTATTAACTACGACGGAAGTCGACTTTCCAACCGCAACCACTCTGGAAATAATTCCCACATGATCATTATTGAACTAACATAGTCGATCGCCCATTTGGTTACGCCCGTTGCAAGCATCGGTTTTACGACATTGGCGAAGAAAGGTATTACTAGTGGTTTCCAGTATAGAACTGTCCGCCATGCGATTGTTGACAGTGCCGGAGCATGGCAAGGAATGTCATGTGTCTAGGCCTGCAGAAGCTGAGCCTGTAAGATGTATAGCGGAGGGTTTATGATGTTTATGCTTTGAGTTCACATGCTTAGAGTAACCACCCGAAACCCTAAAACGGCCGTAAACCTCCATGTCGTGAAAACCCAACTGCTGGTGCTTGCGCCCGAGAACCTGGGTGTTCTATCACATCGCGCGCCTTCCCGAGCTGCAGCGGGCGCTGGCAGAAGAGGCGCAATGCTCATGCAATGGCTATTCAGTTCTTCAAACTCAGATCGTTTATGACAACAGTTGCCCTGAATAAACCCTCCTACACCTTGAACCGGTTGTGATCAGGGCTGTCCCGACGGCTGTGAAGAAGATGAACAGGATCCTGCCGGTTTAGGTAGCTTTGGTAGCCCGTGCGGACGAAACATGGCCCTTGGGCCGTGGCGTTCGGAGAGAGACTGAGAGATCCTGCGGGTGAAGATGAATCTGACGTCTGATGAAGGTGATGTCACTGTTCTTCTTGTTGTGGGTGGTGGTGATGATGCTAAGCTCTAAGGTCATCGAGCTCGCCGTGGGTCACTGCAAACAAACTTCGTTGTGTCGTCGTTCGATGACATTGTTGGTGTTGCTGATGTCATCACCATCACCATCACCATCACCATCACCATCACCATCACCATCACCATCACCATCACCATCACCATCACCATCACCATCACCATCACCATCACCATCACCATCACCATCACCATCACCAACATC